CAGTTGGTCATACTGTGGTGGCTTGCATGTTACTGTGAGGCTGGCTGGGTCACTGGTGTTCCAACGCCAGTAGGGTTGCCCATGGTGGATGGGTTTCAGTGGAGCTTCCAGACTAAGACAGACTTGGAAAAAGGAAGAGGCCATCCATGTCTCAATGAATTGGCCAGGAAAAACCTTATGTATAGCAGTGAGACACTGTCTGATATATTACTGAAAAACTTTATGAATAGCCCTGAAACATTGTCTGATACAGTGCTGGAGACTGAGCTGCTCAGGTTGAAGTACTCTTAAAATACAAATGGGAAAAAGCTGCCTCGTCACAGTAGAACTAACCTCAGTGATATGGATAAATTGGAGCTTTTGGGACCTCCATTTACTGAGGTGACATGACTCAAAATGAGAAGAGACAGCTGCAAATATCCAGTAATAATCAGAACATAGAATGTATGAAGTATGAATGTAGAAAACTGGAAGTGTCAAGAATTAAATGGAACAGATAAATATTGATAATGTAGGCATTAGTGAGCTGAAATGGACCAGACTGGGCCATTTTGAATCAGACACAACCATATGATCTACTATGCTGGGAATGACAAGTTGAAGAGGAATGGCATGGCATTCATCATCACAAAGAATGTTTCAAGATCTATCCTGAAGTACAATGCTGTCAGTGATAGGATAATATCCATACACTTACAAGGAAGGGCAGTTAATACTACTATTACTCAAATTTACACACCAACCACCAAAGCTAAAGATGAGGAAATTGAAGATTTTTACCAAATTCTGCAGTCTGAAATTGACTGAATATGCAATCAAGATGTGCTTATTATCACTGGTGATTGGAATACAAAATTTGGAAACAAAGAAGAATCACTAGTAGTTGGAAAATATGGCCTTGGTGATAGAAATAATGCTGGAGATTGCATGATAGAATTTTGCAAGACCAACGACTTATTCATTGCAAATACCTTCTTGCAACAACACAAACAATAGCTATCCACATAGTCTTTACCAAAGGGAGTATACAGGAATCAGATTGATTACGTCTATGTCAAGAGGCAATGGAAAAACTCTATATCTTCAGCCAAAACAAGGTCAGAAGCTGATTATGGAATGGACCATCAACTGCTCGTATGCAAGTTGAACTTGAAGTGGAAGGCAATTAAAAGAAATCCACAAGAGCCAAAATATGACCTTGAATATAACCTTCATGAACTTAGAGACCATCTAAAGAATAAATTTGTTGTCTTGAACACCAATGACTGAAAACTAGAGGAACTGTGGGATGGCATCAAGAATATCACCCATGAAGAAAGCAAAATGTCGTTAAAAAGACAGGAAAGGAAGAAAAGACCAAAATGGATGTCAGAAAACACTCTGAAACTTGCCCTTGAGTGAAGAGTAGCTAAAGCAAATGGAAGAAATGACAAGGTAAAAGATCAGAAGATTTCAAAGAGCAGCTTGAGAACACAAAGTCAGTTATTATAAGGAAATGTGCAAAGACCTGGAGTTAGAAAAGCAAAAGGAAAGAACACACTCAGCATTTCTCAAGCTGAAAAAACTTAAGCCTCAAGTTGCAATATTGAAAGGTTCTATGGGAAAAATATTGAATGATGCAATAAACATCAAAAGAAGATGGAAGGAATACACAGAGTCACTGTACCAAAAATAATTTGTCAATGTTCATACATTTCTGGAAGTGGCATATGATGAAGAACCAATGGTATTGAAGGAAGAAGTTGAAGCTGCACTGAAGGAAGTGACAAAAGAACAAGACTCCAGGAATTGACAGAATACCACTGAGATGTTTCAACAAACAGATGCTACAGTGGAGGCACTCACTCAGCTATGCCAAGAGATTTGGAAGACAGCTAGCTGGCCAACTAACTGAAAGAAATCCATATTTGTACCCATTCCAAAGAAAAGTGATCCCACAGAATATGGAAGTTATTGAACAATATCATTAATATCGCATGCAAGTAAAATCTTATTGCAGACAATTCATAAATGGTTGCAGGAGTATATTGACAGAGAACTTCCAGAAATGCAAGCTGGATTCAGAAGAGGACATGGAATGAAGAATTTCATTGCTGATGTCAAATGGATCTTAGCTGAAAGCAAAGAATACCAGAAAGATGTTGGCTTGTGTTTTATTAACTATGCAAAAACATTCGATTGTGTGGATTGTAGCAAATTATGGATAACATTGAGAAGAATGGGAATTCCAGAACACTTAACTGTGCTCATGAGGAACCTGCACATAGACCAGAAGGTTGTTGTTCTAACAGAACAAGGAGAAACTGCATGGTTTAAAATCAAGAAGGGAGTGTGTCAGGGTTGTATCCTTTCATCATACTTATTCAATCTGTACACTGAGCAAATAATCTGAGAAGCTAGACTATATGAAGAAGAGCATTGCATCAGGATTGGAGGAAACTCATTAACAACCTGCAATACACAGATGACACAACTTTGCTTGCTGAAAGTGAGGATGACTTGAGGCACTTACTGATGAAAATTGAAGACTACAGTCTGCAATATGGAATGCATCTCAATATAAAGAAAACAAAAATCCTCACAATTGGACCAATAAGCAGCATCATAATAAATGGAGAAAAGATTGAAATTGTCAAAGACTTCATATTACGTGGTTCTACAATCAACACCAAATGGAAGCAGTAGTCAAGATATCAGATGACATATGTTGTTGTTGTTATGTGCCATTGAGTTGGACCTGACTCATAGCGACCCCTCCTTGGGTTGCCAAGGCAGTACCACTATGGAAGTGGATTGCTCAACTTTCCTTCTGAGGAGTGGCTGGTGGGTTTGAACCACTAGCCTTCTGGTTAGCAGTCAAGTGCCTTAGGCACTATGCTACCAGAGCTCCTCATATAGCACTGGGCAAATCGGCTGCAAAAGACCTCTTTCAAGTACTGAAGAGCAAAGATATCTCCTTGAAGACTAAGGTTCACCTGCCACAAGCCACTGAACTTTTCTGTTGCCTTATATGCATGTGAGAGCTGGACAATGAATAAGGAAGACTGAAGAAGAGTCGATGCTTTTGAGTTGTGGTGTTGGTGAAGAATACTGAAAGTACCATGGACTGCTAAAAGAACTAACAAATCTATCCTGGAAGAAGTGTAGCCAGAATGCTCCTGGGAAGGGAGAATGACCAGACTTGGTCTCACCTACTTTGGTTATGTTATCAGAAAGGACCATTCCCTGGAGAAGGATAACATGCTTGGTAAAGTGGAGGGTCAATGAAAAAAAGGAAGGCTCTCAACAAGATGGATTGACAGTGGCTACAATGATGAGCCCAGGTATAGCAAGGATCATGGAACTGTCACAAGACCTGTCTGCGTTTCTTTCTGCTGTACATAGGGATGCTATGAGTTGGGATGACTCAATGGCACTTAACAACAACAATAATTACATTATTATATATGCATATAATGTGTTTATGTGTATTTGTGTGTATATTTATACCCAAAATAAACTCACTGCTACTGAGTTGATCCAATGCATAGCAACCCTATAAGAACAGAGAAGAACTGCTCCATAGGGTTTCCAAGGTTGTAAATCTTTTCGGAAGCAGATTGCCTCATCTTTCTCCCTCAGAGCAGCTGATGGGTTGAAACTGCTGACCTTTTGTTTAACAGCTGAATGCTTTAACAAAACCACTGCTAGCCTTCTGGTTAGCAGTCAAATGCCTTAGGCCACCAGAGCTCCCATATATAAATAAATACATAGATAAGAACAGGATTTAGAAAATCAAAAAAGAAGAACATGCTTGGCATTTCTCAAGCTGAAAGATCTGAAAGAAAAAGATTCAAGCCTCAAGTTGCAATGTTGAAGGATTTTATGGGCAAAATATTGAATGATGCAGGAAACATCAAAAGAAGATGGGAGGAATAGAGAGTCACTTTGTCAAAAAGAATTGTTGGATGTCCAACTATTTCAGGAGGTAGCATATGATTAAGAACCAAGGGTATTGAAAGAAGCCAAGGCTGCAGTGAAGGAATTGCCAAAAAAAGAAAGGCTCCAAGAATTGATGGGATACTCACTGAGATATTTCAACAAATGGATGCTGCACTGGAGGCACTTAGTCATCTATGCCCAGAAACTTAGAAGATAGTGACCTGGTCAACTGAGTGGAATAAATCAATATTTGTGCTCATTCCAAAGAAAAGTGATCCAACAGAATGAGAAAATCACCGAACATTATCATTAACATCACACACAGGTAAAATTTTGTTGAAGACAATTCAAAACTGATTGCAGCAGTATATTGATGGAAAACTTACAGAAATTTAAATTGGATTCAAAAGAGGACATGGAATGAGGGATAGCATTGCTGAAGTCAGATGGATCTTGGCTGAAAGTAAAGAATCCTAGAAGGATGTTTACCTGTGTGTTATTGACTATGGAAAGGCATTCAACTGTGTGGATCATAACAAATTATGCATAAAATTGCAAAGAATGGGAATTCCAGAAAACTTAATCATGAATTCTTGAGGAACTTGTATATAAACCAATAGGCTATTGTCTGAACAGAACAACGGGGTACTGCGTGGTTTAAAATCAAGAAAGGTATATGTCATGTTTGGATATTTTCACCATACTTAATCAATCTGTATGCTGAGCAAATAATTCCATGAGTCTGGACTATATGAAGAAGGTGGATTCAGGATTAACAACTTGTTATTTGCAGATGACACAACTTTCTTACTGAAAGTGAAGATGATTTGAAGTACTTACTGATGAAGATGAAAGACTACATTTTTCAGTATGGATTACACCTCGACATAAAGAAAATGAAAATCCTCACAACTGGACCAGTAAGCGACAATGGGACAAACAGAGAAAAGAATTGTCAGGAATTTCATTTTGCTTGGATCCACAGTCAACACCCACAGAAGCATCAGTCAGGAAATTAGAATTCATAGTCCTCTGGGCAAATCTGCTGTGAAGGACTTCTTTAAAGTGTTAAGAAGCAAAGAGGTCACTTTGCAAAGGTGTGCCTGACCTAAGCCATGATATTTTCAATCACCTCATATGTCTGTGAAAGCTAAACAATGAATAAAGAAGACTGAAGAAGAGTTGATGCCTTTGAATTGCAGTGTTGGCAAAGAATACTGAAAATACCATGGACTGCCAGAAGAACGAACAAATCTGTTCTGAGAGAAATCCAGCTGGAATGCACCCTGCTAGTGAGAATGGCCAGACTTCATCTCTCATACTTTCATCAAATTGCCAAAAGGGACCAGAATCTGGAGAAAGATATGCTAGGTAAAAGCACTGCCATCGAGTTGGATTTGACTCATAGCGACCCCTCCTTGGGTTTCTGAGGCATTATCACTACAGAAGTAGGTTGCCCAACCTTCCTTCTGAGGAGTGGCTGGTGGGTTTGAACCACCAGCCTTCTGGTTAGCAGTCAACTCCCTTAGGCACTATGCCACCAGAGTTCCCATGCTTGGTAAAGCAGAGGGTAAATAAAGAAGAGAAAGACTCTCAATGAGGTAGATTGATACAGTAGCTGCAATTATGGGTCCAAGCACAGCAAGGATTGTGAGGATGGTACAGAACTGGGCAGAGTTTCATTCTATTGTGTGTAGGGTGCCAACTCAAAGTCATATAACAACAACACACACATACATACATACATACATACATAGACACACACACACACACACACACACAATCACCAACAAAAAAACAGTTGCTGTGGAGTCAATTCCAACATTCCAACTCATGGCAACCTTTTCAATGACTGCTTTTGTGAAAGGGAGGTCTTCCTTTTGAGGCAATTGTATATGAACTCAAACTGCCAAAGTTTAAATTAGCAGCTGAGCACTTAACTGTTTACACCACCCAGGGAGATATACACATACATTCACATTAATTAATTTTTTTAACCCCTCTACTCAAAAACTCAGAGCTCTGGTAGTGTAGTGGTTAAAGCATTTGGCTGCTAACCAAAAGCAGCCAAACCTACCAGCTGCTCTGAGAAAGAAAGAAGATGCAATCTACTTCTGTAAAGATTTACAGCTTTGAAAACCCAATGGGGTATGAGTCAGAACTGACTCAATAGCAGTGAGGTTTTTTTTGTTTCTGTTTTTGTTTAAGTCAACAACTCAGCTGCCAATTTATAATTTCTGCTTAAACTCTTTGGTAATTCCCTTCTTTTCTCAGGGAATTTTCAGAGGTTATTTTATATTGTGTGTATGAGTACCATTTCTGTATTTTTTACACAAAATGGAGTTTTTACTAATGAATACTGTCTCCACAGATTTATTAACAAAAAATATGTGTGAAGTGGATGTGCATAGACCACAGAGATAATTCAAGGGTTGTCCCCGGATCACTTTGTTACCAGAGAGTTGTTCTAATAAAAACCAGCCAAGATTACTTCCTCCATTGCATTATTTCTAGAATACGCTAATTGTCTGGGTTTGTATTTAAAAGGTTCTGCCAAGAAATCTTGCCCTGCCCTTTGTTGAGATCTCCAGGAAGCTTGGGCTTCCTCCTATCCTTGTGCACTCGGACTTGGTGCTGACAAATTGGACTAAATGGAATCCAGAAGGGTAAGAGAAAAAGAGAACACTTTGCATCTAAATAAACTGAAATCAAGCAGAGAACAATCTTAAGGCTTGTTCTTCCACAGGAAATTACCAGGATGTTTCAGCTATTTTGTGATTAAGGATGTTCATATTTATTCTCTGCTTTATAGTTCCAAAAATGAGGTGAACTTGAACACAAGTTCAAAAATTATAGGCCCCAGAAATTTCCCCTCAGTCCACCCTGAGTACATTAGTCCTGACCACATTTTCTAATTTGCTGCCATATCAGTCTGAATTTCTCAACCTGACATTCAAGTTCCTGAATAATCAGATTTCACTCATTCTTTCTCACCAAAACCTTTTACTATTCTCTACCATATGTACTCCATTCAAGTCAAGTTAGGAGCAGGGACTTGAATAAGTGATCATTATATACTGAAAGAATGAGCAAATGCATAATTATGAAAGAATGAACACCTAGGAATGTTAGATTGAAAATGTGATTAGTAAAACTGTCTATTCCACCTAGCTGTCAATATTCCCTTAACAGCTGAGCTGGAAATAAAGGCATCTGTCTATAAAAGAAATACCATAAACCAAAAACCAAACTCACTGCCATGGAGTGGATTCTGACTGATAGCAACCCCTCCTTGGGTTTCCGAGGTAGTATCTCTATGGAAGTAGATTGCCCAACCTTCCTTCTGAGGAGTGGCTGGTGGGTTTGAACCACCAGCCTTCTGGTTAGCAGTCAAATGCCTTAGTCACTACTCCTCCAGAGCTTCTAAAGAAATACCACAGGTCTTAATAAACACTCTGGTGGTGTAGTGCCTAAGGTATTTGACTGATAACCAGAAAGCTGGAGGTTCAAACACACCAGCCATTCCTCAGAAGGAAAATTGGACAATCTACTTGTGTAGAGATACTGCCTCAGAAACCCAAGGAGGGGTCGCTATGAGTCAGGGCTGACTCGACGGCACACAACAACAACAACAACAACAACAGCACATCTACCAGTCATCAATCAGTTTGTAGTACTGTGGTGGCTTATGTGTTCCTGTGATGCTGGAAGATATGCCACTGGCATTTCAAATACCAGCAGGGTCACCCATGATGGACAGATTTTAGCAGATCTTCCAAACTAAGACAGACTGAGAAGAAGGACCTGGCCATCCACTTCTGAAAAATTGGCCACTGAAAACCTTATGAATAGCAGTGAAACGTTGTCTTATATCATGCTAGAAGATAAGCCTCTCAGGTTGGAAAACATTCAGAATACAACTGAGAAAGAGCTGCCACCTTAAAGCAGAGTCAATTTTGTTGACATAGATGGAATAAAGCTTTTGGACCTTCATGACATGACCCAAAATAAGAAATAGCTGCAAAACTTCACTAATGATTGGAACATGGGATTACAAAGTATGAATCTAGGAATGCTGGAAGCTGTCAAAACTGAAATAGAATGCATAGAGATTGATATTCTAGGCATTAGTGAGCTGAAATGTACTGGTAGCAGCTATTTTGTATCAGACAATCATATGGTCTACTATGCCAGAAATAACAAATTGAAGAGGAATGATGTCACGTTCACTATTAAGAAGAACATTTCAAGATCCATCCTGAAGTACAATTCTGTCGATGATAGGATAGTATTCATATGTCAACAAGGAAGACCAGGTAATACTATTATTCAAATTTATGCACCAAACATTAAAGCCAAAGACAAAGAAATTGAAGACTTTGTGGTCTGAAACTGACCAAACATCCAATCCAGATATATTGATAGACACTGGTGATTCAGTGTGAAAGATGGAAACAAAAAAGAAGCACTCACTGGAAAATATGACCTTAATGAAAGAAATGACATCAGAGACCATAGGATACAATTTTGCAAGATGAGTGCTTTATTCATTGCAAATACCTTTTGAGCAATATAAACAGTGACTGTACATGAGGACCTTGCCGTATGGAGTACACAGGAATCAAATCTACTACATATGTAGAAAAGAAGCTATGGAGAAAGCTAGCAAGGCCAACACCATCAATTGTTTCATGCGGATTCAAGTTGAAGCTGAAGAAAATTGAAGCCAGTCCACAACAGTTGGAATACAACCTTGAGTATATTCCACATGGATTTAGAAACTTTCTGAAGAATAGATTTGATGCACTGAACTCCAAAGGCCAAAGATCAGATGAGTTGTGGGATGACATAAAGAACATCATCCATGAAGAAAACAAAAAGGTCACTAAACAGACAGGAAAGGAAGACAAGACCAAAAAAGATGTCAGAAGACCAAAATGGATGTCAGAAGGGACTCTGAAACTTGCTCTTGAATAAAGAATAGCTAAAGTCAGTGGTGTTGTGGGGAGAAGATGTAATGAAAAAGCTGAACAGATGATTTCAAATGGTGGCTCAAGAAGACAAAGTAAAGTGCTGTAATGAAATGTGCAAAAATGCAGAATTAGAAAACTGAAAGGGAAGAACATTTAACATTTCTCAAATTGAAAGAACTGAAGAAAAAATTCCAGCCTCAAGTTGCAACATTGAAGGACTTAATGGGCAAAATACTGAACAATACAGAAGCATCAAAAGAAGATGTAAGGAATACACAATCACTGTACCAAAAAAGAATTAATCAACTTTCAATGTTTCATGTGGTAGCATATGATCAAGAACCAGTGATGTTGAAAGAAGAAGTCCAAGCTACACTGAAAGGACTGGCACAAAAACAAGGTTCCAGGAATTGATGGAATACCCACTGAGATGTTTCAACAAGCAGATACAGTGCTGGAGGTGCTTAATCATTTATGCCAAAAAATTTGGAATACAGTTACCTGGCCAACTGACTGGAAGAGAAACATATTTGTGCCAGAAAGGTGATCCAATAGAATGTAGAAATTATTAAACAATATCATTAATATCACACATGCCATCAAGTTGGACCTGACTCATAGTGACCCCTCCTTGGGTTTCCGAGGCAGTGTCACTATGGAAGTAGATTGCCCAGCCTTCCTTCTGAGGAGTAGCTGGTAGGTTTGAACTGTCAGCCTTCTGTTAGCAGTCAAATGCCTTAGGCACTATGACACCAGAGCTCCTATCATTAATATCACATGCAAGTAAAATTTTGCTTACGATAACTCATAAAACTCAGCAGTATATCAATAGGGATCTACCAGAAATTCAAGCTGGATTCAGAAGAAGGCATGGAATAAGGGTTATCATTGTTAATATAAGACAAATCTTGGTTGGAAGCAAAGAATACTAGAAAGATGTTTACACATATTATATTAAATATGCAAAGGCATTCAACTGTGTGGATCATAACAAATATGGATAACATTGCAAAGAATGAGAATTCCAGACATTTAGTTATTCTTATGAGGAAACTGTACCTAGATCAGGAGGAAGTCATTTGAACAGAATGCATAGTTCAAAATCAAGAAAAGTATATATCAAAGTTGTATCCCTTCGCCATACTTATTCAATCTGTATGCTGAGCAAATAATCTGAGAAGCTATATTACATGAAGAAGAATGGAGCATCAGGATTGGAGGAAGACCCATTAACAACCCACAATATGCAGATTACACAAACTTGCTAGCTGAAAGTGAGGATGACTTGAAGTACTTATTGATGAAAATCAAAAACTACAATCTCCAGCTTGTATTATACCTCAAAATAAAGAAAACAAAAATCCTCATAACTAGACCAATAAATGGAGAAAAGATTGAAATTTTCAAGGATTTGACTTGGATCCACCGTCAACAGCCATAGAAGCAGCAGTCAAGAAATCAGACATCATATTGCACTGGGAAAATCTGCTGCACGAAAACTCTTTAAAGTGTTAAAAAGCAAAGATATCACTTTGAAGACTAAATGTGCCTGACCCAAGCCATTGTATTTTTATTCTCCTCATATTCAAGTGAAAGCTGGACAATGGATAAGGGAGACTGAAGAAAAATTGGTACATTTGAATGGTGGTTTTGGTGAAGAATATTGAAAATATCATGGACTGTCAGAAGAATGAGCAAATCTGTCAAGGAAAAAGTATAGCCAGAATGCTGCTTAGAAGTGAGAATGGCCAGACTTCATCTCTCATACTCTGGTCATGTTATCAGAGGGGATCCATCCTTGGAGAAGAATATCATGTTTGGTAAAATAGAGGGACAACAAAAAAGGGGAAGAACCTCAATCATGGATTGACACAGTGGCTGTAAGGATGAGCTCAAACATAGCAAAGATTATAAGGACTGGGCAATGTTTGCACTGTTGAACATAGGTCACTATGAGTTGGAGCTGCCACAATGGCAACTAGCAACAATCACCATAGCACAGAGTTAAGTGAAATGAAGAACTGAAAGAAACAGAAGCAAAGTACACCTAATCTTGGCTAAACAACAAGAAAGCCCTACATGACAAATGTCAAAGAATTACACAAAACAATAAGTCTTTTAGGATTTCAGAGATATTACTTCACTCTTGGCTTTAAATATCAGGAAAAAGCTTGGTGAGGAAGTGGAATTTTATCTTTGGGTGAGGACCAAAATATGAGTAGGAGTACAAAATGTGTGTTTGTGGTAATTATAACATTTTTTATAAAGAAAGTAAGATAATTTAGCCAGATGGCCATGGGCCAAATGTTCTAAGACTGATAATGTGAGCTGATATTTGCCTCACTTCCTGGGTGGTGCAAATAGTTAAGGTGTTTAACTGATAAATGAAAAGTCGGAGGTTTGAATTTACCCAGAGTGCCTCTGAAGAAACGCCTGGTGCACTGCAATGAATAGTTTGGTATGGCCCTTTTAGTCATGGTCTTTATGATTTCCATTAGATGTCTGGGTGGGAGTATGCAAATATGAGGTGCTTATGACCCACCAAGGGGATTGGATAGCTTACTAAAATCATGTAACTAAGGGGCATGTCACCCTTGTGGGAGTAGGACTATGAAAATAAAGTGTATGGAGTCCTTACGTGGGAATTGGTCAGTTTTGCTATTCTACTAGGCTTAAAATGAACCATCCCAGGCGTAGTGCCTAAGGCACTTGACTGCTAACCAGAAAGCTGGTGGTTCAAACCCACCAGCCACTGCTGGGAAGGAAGATTGGACAATCTACTTCCATAAAGATACTGCCTCAGAAACCCAAGGAGGGGTCACTATGAGTAGGAGACGACTGGACAACACATAACAACAACAACAACAACAGCTGTGGAAAGGGGGGATCTCACTACTAATCAAGAAAGAAAAGCCAGGAGTGGAACATGTCCTTTGAACCTGAAATCCCTGCACTAAATGTCCTCCAACCTGGAGACAGAGAAAGCTGTAACATTTTGCTGAGATGGTGAGCAACGATGTAAAGCAGCACCAAAGAAATGGCTGCAACAGAACCATGAGACCCAACAGGAGACCTAGCAGGAGACCCAAGAAGAGAGAGCACAGTGGGCTTCTGGACCCCTAGAGTGAGAAAGCTAAGTGCCTTTGGACACAAGACTAGCTGGCAAAGTAGAGATCCTCTGGGCAGTTGGTGGAGATAATTTTGTCAATCCTCGTAGCTAAAGTTGAGCTCCTTTGGGCAGAGGCTTACTGATGGAGTGGCATGCCTCTAAGCACTTTTTGGCAGAGACAGAAGAGCTCTGTAACACTTGCCAGAGCAGGGCAGTGGCCAAGAGGCTGTGTGGCAGAGAGGCCGAGGCCAGAGAGAGGCATGCCTGAAGGCAATGCTGAGAAGAGGCTGTTTTGATCAAACACTGTATTCTGAGTCATTTGTAATCCTGAATTATAATCTGTTTCTTCCCCAATATACTTCATAAATAAGTGTATTGTCTGTGAGTTCTGTATGGCCATTGCAATGAATTACTGAACCCAGCCAAGAAGTAGAAAGTGCTGTAAGAGGCACAACTGGTGTCAGAATTAGTGAAATGGTTGGGAGATGGAGTCATGTATGACCTCCGCCTCACAGGAATCACCTCTGGGCTGTTGGTCTGATCCTCCTCCCCTCATGTGAAGTTGAAAGAGATTGGGCACCTCCTCCATGCCATTTTTATACCTGGTAATCCACTTTTGAAAGATCAGTCATTGACAATCCTATGGAGCACAGTTATACTCTGACAGACATGGGCTCTCCATAAGTTGGAACTGATTCATGGCATTTTTTTTTTTTTTAAGTCACACAGTGGCTCATAGTCTAGTTACAACCTGTGAATTATGAGCAAAGTGCATCCACACTGCAAGGGAGATTGTGTGTGTGTGTGTGTGTGTGTGTGTTCATGGCATGTGAGTGTGTAAACTTGTATACATGTGACCCTAGGAGGCATATCTAGTTTATAAACTGAATTGTTCTTTTATATTCTTTTCCTCCTTGTGGCTGCCGATGGCTGAACTTTGACTAGTCCCCTGGAAATAAGGTAAATTCTCAGAAGTTTTTTACTGACTTTGGAAGCTTTTCTAACTTTAAGAGCTCACAAACAAACAGAGAAAAAAGAAAGCACACCAAATTGTGTCTACATTATATCAGCTATATAAAAATGTATGGGAAAAAAGAAGAAAATGTGCCCAAAATTACCAATGCAAATGTTAGTAGTGGCTGCCTCTGTCTGTTAGAGATTGTTGTTGTTGTTATGTGCTGTTGAGTTGGATCCAACTCAGCGACCCCTCCTTGGGTTTCTGAGGCCGTACCACTACAGAAATGGATTTTCCAATCTTCCTTCTGAGGAGTGGCTGATGGGTTTGAACCGCCAGCCCTCTGGTTAGCAGTCAAGTGCCTTAGGCACTATACAACCAGAGCTCCTCTGTTAGAGATTAAGGGATTCATTATTGTTTTTGTATTTTCCAATCTATGCATAATAAAGCAAATAAAGTAAAATACTAATAAGAAGATAATCAATTCTCTGTTACTCTTTGAATTCTAATAGTCTGAAAAACATCTCTCTCCTCACCATAACTTTTCTGAAAGGCCAAATTGTAGGCAGTGGTTGCTATAGCTACAGAAGATTCCTTTTGACATATCCTATTAAGATAGAGATTGGAGATCTTGTAGGGAAGGTCTGGTCCAGATGGTTTTTGGCTCCATTTCCCTGGAGAACAAAATTTGTCTCTAAGTTAATGTTACCTTTCCCATTATGAAATGTTAGCTCAATAAAGGAGCTCAGGATTAAATCTATAGCTCAAGAGATGGAGGAAGTAAGGGAAGACATACCCTTCTCCATACTAATGTAACTTTGGTGGAACAATGCTGTTCCTAAATGACTTTTAGGTTTTGTTAATGTTGCTGTTTTCTCCTCCTCTCCTGCTTAAAGTATTTGAGAGAGAAGTGATCTTTAGAGCTAAGCTTTTAGATTCGGTGGACTTGATATCTGGGATATTTGAATCTGCAAGCTACAGGTCATGTAAACATTGCCCCTCTGTAGCAGAGTCTTCCAGCTCTCACTTTGTTACACAGCATTTAATTATAATTGTCATGGAGCGAAAGAACATGACCTGAGTTATGATACTTTATACCAGACCTCCCCCTGACTAATCAGCTGTGTGACTTGGGCAAGCTGCCTGCCTTGTCTGAGCCGTAGTTTCTTATCTATAAACAGGGCATGTGGAATTTGCTGTTGCCTGCATCACTGTATCTGTAAGTCTCTGTGGATCCTGCAAGAATATTGCGATGGGCTGTAGCATTGGCTCTGGAAGAATCAGCTATACATGTTGTGAAGGACTTTCTGCCTATGCTGCAGCTGGCCATCCCCTTGTGGGAACCACCTTCATCTGAGACCATCAGGGCCATGCTAGAGTTTGGGATTCCTTAGGGCAGGTGAACTTGGGCTTGAATTAATTTAATCTCTTTTCTCCCTGAAAGTACATGTGTATCCTCAGGGTTGTCATATAGAGAGGAAAAGTGGGTTTCCTCTTGCAGTTATCCAAGTTGATGGGGACATATGGGCAGTGAGTATTTGAAGTATAGGCTCCATAACTCTAACCAGCTCATCATTTCCTTCCCAAGGAACCTGGACATCATCCTTTCATTTCCTGGGGGAGAAAGCCTGCGTGGTTTTATACTGGTGACTGTTTTGGTGGAGAAAGCAGCAGTGCCTGGGATTAAGGTATCTTCCCACTCCACAACACTTACTTTCTTTTTAATGAGAATTAGTTGGGCCTATACCTCCCACTCAGCTTCTTTCTTTGCACTATATTTCTCGATACAGATAGATAGAGGGTTTGTTCTATTTGCTTCAACTCTGGGAAAAGAAATATAAATTCTAGCACACAGCAATATATCTCTCTCTCCTTAATTTCATTAAAATTTGGAATTGACTATTTGTCCATTTAAAAATCGAGCATTGTTCTAAGCAATTGGATATCAGGACCAGATGGACACTGTTGTGGCCTCACAGAAGCCAGGTTTGGAGGGTCAGTGAAGGGTACTCAGAGAAAATGAAACTAAATTAAAAGCTAAATGCTGTATAGGAATTAGATCCAGAGACACACACAGAGAGAGAAAGGAGAGTAGAGAAGGGAAAGAGAGAAAGGGGAAAAGGAAGAGGAGAGAAGAGAAGCATATTCTAGGCATGAAGAACTGCTACATAAAGGCTTAGAGGAAATTAAAATTATTTAGAGCTGGGATGCATCATTGAGATTATCTAACTCTAGAGGGTTGGAAACTAATTCCTTTAAGGATCAGACAGGTAACAGGACAGGCACAAAGCAAAAAACAGTGGAGGGACTATTGATCCTCTAGGGACATCTTGTCTTACTTAAGGGTATTCAGGTTAGATTTACACTTTTCTTCATCATCTTCCCTGCTATGCATATTTTGAATGCTCAATGTGCTCTTAATAGGATCGCCAGTCCTGACATAATTATTAACAACATCGTTTTTCACTCTGGAAAGTGAAACTATCTGTTCACTTTAGTCCTCATCCATGTATTAAGTACATTGAGAAATATAGAATGAAATATTGGCCTTCCAAATGTAGTTCAGATAAGGGAGGAATTGCTGTGAGTCAAGGAAGGCTTCATGGAGAAGGGGACCTGTGAGCTGGACTCTGAAAAATCCATCTGTAAGGCAGAGATTGGGAGTGAGGGTGCCCTGGTTGAAGACACAGAAGTAGAAATGCTCATAATGTATGATAAATTGAGAAGATCTAATAAGAGTTAAGCCCCAAAAGGTGGAAAACCTGGCAATCAGTGGAACCGTCCAGAACAACCTAGCCAGGGTTTGTGTAGGACATACTCAGAGAGGCTTTTAGACCTCACAGAGGATCTAGTTCAGGAGCTCTGACAGCCCAGCAATCAGTAGCCCTCAGCTGAGTGGTTATAGCTCTGGGCATACACTACCTCACTGGACTTTAAATGACCACAAACGAACTAAGTAAATGAATTTCATCCCCAGGCCCTCGTTGAGGCTGTGAATGCCATCCTACAGCTCAGCCAGGACTCCCTGCTGGAAGCCTTGCAGCAACTGAGACTCTCCATTCAGGACATCACCAGAGTCTTGGAACAAATGCATGGTACTATGCTTCCTGAATGTGCCCCAATGGCTGAAGTCTCTGGGGAAAAACACCTGGAGGTTGGGCACATCCTAACTGGGTGATGATACACCTTTCTCTGGCAGATGGCACTGATGGTAGCTTAGTGCTTAAGGCAGTTGACAGCTAACCAGAAGGCTGGTGGTTCAAACCCACCAGCCACTCTTTGGAAGGAAGATGTAGCAACCTACTTTCATAGTGATACTGACTCAGAAACCCAAGGAGAGGTCGCTATGAGTCAGATCTGACTTGACAGCAGTGAGTTAGTTAGTTAATTCACTTTCACTGATTTCTCAGTTTGCAGAGATATTTTCCTGTTTTTATCTTTCTCTGAATTTTCTCATGGTTAGAGTAATTTACTTTTGTCATCTCATTGATGACCACATATTTCTTTGGATGTTGAGGTCTTGTATGAAACATGGGAGGAGGCACACAAGAACAACAGTTATACCCTATTCATGTAGCAGCATTACTCTCCTACAGTGTAGAATTGTGATGACATGGCTGGCCTTTAAGCTCCATAATGTTCTCTTTTTTCTTTTCTCTCTGTTCAGTACTGAGATGGCTGACCTTGGCTTCAGGCCTTTCCCAGGGGACATTCCAATGGTCCTCATCTCTGGCCATTGTGGAATGAGTGTTTGCTGTGGCCAGTTAATAAGCAAGCCTATACTTACTGGGTCCTTGGAAGGAAGGTTGGGCAATATACTTCTGTAGAGATGTTGTTGTTGTTATTTGCCATCGAGTCGGACATGACTCATAGCGACCCCTCAGCTTTCTGAGGCAGTATCACTACAGAAGTAGATTGTCCAACCTTCCTTCCGAAGAGTTTCTGGTGGGTTTGAACTGCCCGCCTTCTGGTTAGCAGTCAGGTGCCTTAGGCACTCTGCTACCAGAGCTCCCATACTGCCTGGGAAACCCAAGGAGGGCTCCCTATGAGTAAGCAACTACTCAATGGCATATAACAACAACAATATACTTACTGGGACTGCTTTCATTTTATTCTGATGACTACACTCCATCTCCAGTGTCTGAGAGGTTCTTCAGTTTCCTCTATCAGAAGAATTTTAACAATGTACTGAGTGCTTGTTTAAGGAAGGGTGTGGAAGAGTGATGTGACTAAGCAAAAGAGAAAAGCCTCTGAGTATCAATTTCCTTGAATCCTGCTGCACTGAAAGTGGTTCTGAGAAAGACACTTGTTTATAGGAAACTGGGAAGGAGGGAGAGTGAAAGAATTTTTATTTCTTTTTATTCAAACAGTAAATGTGTTTGTTATCTCAGAGTGTCTGTACCAGTATAAATACCTCCAAAGTCACAAGGTTATGTATTATTTCCACCCAACTTCCCTGGTTTACATTTTATATGTACATTTTCTCCATTTCCCTGTATTTTAATTTTTAAGCCTTTCTAACATCAGGAGCTTTGATGGTGCAGTGCCTAAGGCATTTGACTGCTAACTAGAAAGTTGGCAGCTCAAGCCCACCAGCTTCTACACAGAAGGAAGATGGGGAGATCTACTTCCATAAAAATTTACCACAGCAGAAAACCGATGGGAATCACTATGAGTTAGAATCTACTTGATGGTAGCAAGTTTGGTTTTTGTTTTTGTAACATCAGTAGGTCTCCTACCCAACAAGTGTTCTCCAAACAATGAGACATATACCTACCATTCATTACTCGGAATATCAAGATTATTACAGAAACATTCCAGGTATTTTCAGATCATATGAATGAGCAGAGGTGGGTAGCTTGGGAAGGTTGTGAGAGACTTTCCACTACATCACACAAATTGTAGGAAGATGGCACACCTATGTCTGACTGCCACAGGCTTTCCTAGTGCCAATGTTCAGAGTCATTTATTATGTCCCAGACCAACCCCGTTATGTTCTCTTGACTATTCTTTGCAGCAGGTCTAATAGACTGAGGTTGTATTCTCACTCTTTTGCTTCAGCTTTTTTGATCTTTGTATCTGGTTATAGAGCCTGACAATTTTTCTGGGCTAACTTCCTTATTTCAATTAAAGGTAAAATTTCCCACATAGACATAATTTGTTTTAAAGTTTTACTCCTAATCATTACAGTAAAATAGATGAAGATATCAAAATGTATTTTCCAAAGATCTCTAAGGTCTCTAGGTGGTGCACACTGTTTGCATTCAAACTTATTTAAAGAAGCTGTGGGAAAAAAAAAAAAAAAAAGACCTGGTGATCTGCTTCTGTAAAGATTAAACTCAAAAACTCACTGCCATCAAGTGGGATCCGACTCATAGTGACCCCTCCTTGGGTTTCCAAGGCGGTATCACTACGGAAGTTGATTGTCCAACCTTCCTTCTGAGGAATGGTTGGTGGGTTTGAACCACCAGCCTTCTGGTTAGCAGTCAAGTGCCTTAGGCACTATGCTACGAGAGCTCGCTGACACAACTTTAAGCTTGTGTATTGAGTCACCATGAAGGAATCTCAACTATTCTAAGGCCATCATCTTGTGTGGAAAGCCATATGAAGAGGTCATGTGTAGATGGATCAAAGACTTAAATGTGAAACCTGAAACTATAGAGTTCTTCGAGGAAAAACTAAGGGCAAATTTAGGGACCCTAATATATGGCATAAATAGACTATCAAGCATAACTCAAAATGCACAAACAGCAGAAGAGAAACCAGATGATTGGGACCTTCTAAAAATTAAATTTT